CTTATCAATCGTTATCAGTTTCTGGCACCCACCAACAATGTCCCCGTCCCACCCCATAACACTTGTAAGTATGGTTGCTCTGGTGTCAACGCGAGCCAGGCAACGGAATCGACGACTTTTGCGTTCTAGCGCATCTTATCAGCCATTATCAGTTGCTATCGCTTCCAATCATGTACCACCAATGTCCCGGGACCGCCCCACATAACACTTGTAAGTATAGACGCTCTTTACCAATATGAACGGCAAAACGAAATTGGCGATGCTCGCTTTCTAGCCCTCTTTTCAGCATACTATTATCAGTCGTTATCGTATAGTCCCTATCCCCTATAACATATGTAAGAACCACTGCGCTATCGTTACTGTGACTCGAGCTATGAATTTCCGGTCAAACACACACACACACACCAACAGACACACGCTAGCCGCTTATATATAGTAGGATTATTCCTCTGTTCTCCTGTATTTTGGTATTCTCTAAGACTATTCTACTTATTGAAGAGAACAGGTGAGTCAATTTCATAAAAAAGTTTACTGTTTTGCATGGGATGTGCATGATTTTTCGCAAATGTCAATATTAAAGCGTGATTTTTGCGTTTTGCATAAAGTTCTGTGATTCTTTTTCCATTTTTTTCCTGTGTTGCATGCAGCTTTCATAGCAGTATCATTCACGTGTTCTTTTCATTGTCAAGAACAATTTTTGACACTGCTATGAAGCTTGCATTCTAGAAAGAACGCATCACGCAGGGACTTACCTGTATCGTGAGGTATTTTTATTTTATTTTTAATTTTACCTTTTTCCCTTCGACTTGTTCTTCACTACAGCATCTTTTGCATGTTCTCGTTGTTGTGCGGAACATTATTTGATGCTGTTTTGAAGCAACTTGTCGCTTTTGTGCATGTCTTTTTCCAGGTAGTGCTGCAGTCGCCGTCCTTTTGCTGTTGCGTAAGGTTTCCTTTTTATTTTTGATTTTACCTTTTTCCTTTCGACTTCGTTCTTCACTACAGCATCTTTTGCATGTTCTCGTTGTTGTGCGGAACTTCATTTGATGCTGTTTTGAAGCAACTTGTCGCTTTTGTGCATGACTTTCCTTGACTTCTTGTTCATCATTCAAACATTCATAACATTATTAACATTTTGCAATCCTTTAAGGCTATTAATGAAACTGCGGACAACTGAAGCCGAAAAATATTATACGATTTCTTCCGAAATATGGTCTCATTGTTCCTTTTTTTCCTGTATAGCTTTTTCAGGCCATTCTCGAAACGAGAGTTTCCAACCTTCAAATGGCCATAAGTTCCTTCAAAGTCAGTAAATTGAGAAGCGGTGGAACGTTTGAGATCAGCAAGCAGGCAATACCTTATTAACATACCAGTTGGCGCCGCACGCATTGCGCGCGCAACACAGATCTGCGGCGAATTTTGATGGTGCGACGAAAATTTTCAAATTTGGCTTGATACACCACGAATATCTGAATTCTCAGCTAAATTCTATCCGCTCCATCATCGACGGCTTTCAACCTCTTTTTCTTCGTCAACCATTATCCTCTTTTTCCCGGTCTCCGGACTGCTTCCGGACAATAAATCTCGTGGCAAACTCCGCCTACTTCGGTGCGTGCTCCGCCCACCAATAGCATTTGGCCCCCTTCCTTTCGCCGACCTCTACCCCTTTTTTCACCGGTCTCTGGGACCTCTTGGAAGCAGCTGATCTCTTTTCCCTCGCCAACCTCTAACCCCGTTTTCCCTATCTCTAGGACTTCTTGGAGCGGGTGTGATTTCGTCGCAAACTCTCGCGCCACTTTGTCAAGCGTTTTCGCCCACCGGTGACGCTGCGGGCTCCAACTCCTTTCACCCCAGCCTCCATCCTAATTTTTCCTCTTTTCGCCTGCCTACGGGACTTCTTCGAGCCGAATTACAATTTCGGCGCAAACTCCGCCCACATTAGCGCACGCTCCACCCAACCGTAGCAGTTAACTTCTCTTTCTTTGCTGACCTATATCCACTTTTTTCCCGTTCTCCAGGACTTCTTGGAACCAAGTTATGAATTTTCCTGGGTAACTCCGCCCACCAATAATATTCTAGCTCTACTACTTCAACCACCCCCATGCACCTTTTTCCCGGTCTCCCGGGCTTCTTGGAATCGAGTTATGAATTTTCGTGATAACTCCGCCCACTTTGAACATGCTCCGCCCACTAATGGTATTTAAGCTCCACTCCTCCACCCACCTCTACCCACCTTTTTCCGTGCCTCCGGGACTTCTTGGAGCCGAGTTATGAATTTTCGTCGCAAACTCCGCCCACTTTGGTCAAGCCCCGCCCACCGATGACAGCTGGCCTCCACTCCTCCACCCACCTCTATCCACCTTTTTCCGGCTCTTTAAGACTTCCCCGGCCCGAATTATGAGGACTTGTAGAAAATGCTGTACACTTCAGAGCGCGCCCCGCCCATTGTGGGCGGCCTCCGCCCACGTCATGTATGCTGGAAACACCTTAGACATTGCTCCCCTACACCAATTTGTTTTCTGCTCTGTAGGCTTTCTCCCAACCGAGTTATGAAATTTTTCATAAAGCACTGCTTTTTTGGAGAACGCCCCGCCCACCGGGGTGGGTCTCCCTAATTCGATGTGACTTACCAATGCACACCTTACCCACTTTTTGGCCCAGTTTCGAGGCTGTTTTGTGACTGAATTTGAAATCTTGGTCTTCAGTACATTTCGATGCACGCCACGCCCACTGTGGGCGGGGCTCCGCTTAGCTGATGTGTGTTTTGTACTTCGTGAGACCTTGCCCACCCATCCCACACTTGACCCGGTCCCTCCAGGCGGATCCCGAGGAGCTAGGGAATTTCGTGACAGACATACAGACAGACAGACGACAGACGAAGCGCTTTATAGTAAGTAGGATGTTAGATTATCAATATCATTGGATTCCTGAGCTTCATTTTGTAATATGTTCTTCAAGTGCTCTGATATGAAACTCTTCAAAATCTTTTATGTGACGACGTTTCGGGCCTTAAGCCCTTCCTCAGGTCTACAAATACAAACATGCTAATTTTACATCAACAATCGATCTAGATGTGACCAATACAATACATTGGAAAATGAAAAAGCCTTAACAACTGACCAACTTAGGAAAATTTGGGTTAAGGGCGGGTTGGTCCCGGGAGCTTCAGGTATTGCTGCAAATGATGTGGGATGAGGATGGAAAGGGCTACGTGAAAGGGGCTCACCTCTCTAGCTGCTCACTCGAAATGAAATGGGACAGTCAGATGAGGGTTAGCAAGGGTAGGGTAGCATTACTTTATACCTTGCGATTTAGCATATGTCATTCAGCATATGCCTTCATTTTCTCATCTCACTATGTAACGAGCAATTCCATGGCCGTTCGCAGTTCTTCTCTGTTGTTAATTTGTGGGCTCCTTCGTATTTCCAATGCCTCCTTTATCTTCCTCTCCACCGGGTCACAAACGTTCCTGTGAATCACACGGACTTTGATTTCAGGTGGTTGTTCATGAGTGTGGCGCAAAGAACGGTGCTTCGAAAAGGCGTTCTCCGGATAACTGCTGGGGTTCCGGAGAGCCCTCAGATGTTCATCAAGCCTTTTGAAAGCGGCGTCCACTCTCTCCTATATAAACCTCCGAACATGACGCACACGTTACTTCGTAAACGGTACATTTCAAAAGGCAATTTTTCGTCCATTCTGGCAATATTGACAGTTTGAGCGGCCACACAGATCTTCATACAATCGAGACGATGTGAGCAGACGGCGTAACGTAGGTGGCGGTCGGAATATCAGGCGGATCGGCATTCCAGACCTCTTTATTACACGGTTGACATCCTTCGCAAAGGATTCTGAGAGGTAAGGCATTATAAGTGGAACGCTTCCCGGCACCTGATATGGACGACAGCACTCTATATGTCTGCTTCCATAACCATTTTCGATAATATGCGACTCATAAGCTTCACAAGCTGGCACTTTCTGAAGGATGTGTCACAAGTTACAACAACACTATCAAAACTAGGACGTCCGCTTTTTAAAAGGCTAGATGAACATCTGAGGGCTCTCCGGAACCCCAGCAGTTATCCGGAGAACGGCTTTTCGAAAAACCGTTCTTCGCGCCACACTCATAAACAACCACCTGAAATCAAAGTCCTGTGTGCAGCGCCTTGCAGGCGCAGCTCAGATTCCTTGACGGTGACTCATGTTTTGCTTTCAGGGCGTGGCGATGGAGCGATCAGCTTCTTCGGGGAGTCGACCTGCCTCTCGGACCGAGGACGCTCGGATCCCGACCTTCTACTCCATCTCTTGGGCGAAGCCCTGCTCTCTCGAGGACTAGTGATCTCACCCACGTGGTGCTTGCTCTCCTGCCTATATGCTTATGTTGTTTCGTGTATTTGTGCCTTTTTATAACACAACATGAGTCACCGTCAAAGAATCTGAGCTGCGCCTGCAAGGCGCTGCACTAACACAACCTAGGTTTTCGACTTTGTAACGAAGTGCAGAAGAAAAAGATTACAAGTGATCAGAGACTTCAAAGTATCACAGATAAAAAAGTGTCCTCATTTGTTGACTCTATCTGAGGAAACTGGCTCACTTCCTCCTATGATTAGCATGAAAATTCTGATTAACACTTCAACTGCGTATATTATAACATTAACTTTCAAAGAAAATTTGATTCCCGTACCCAGATTGATAAAGTTGTATTATATTCTTACAAACTCTTGACACTCTTCGATAATATCCACATCACGAGTTTGCCAGAGGACGCATTCAATAAAATACTAGGCGTTTAATTCGTCTTGAAAAAAATCAATACGGAGTTTCTGTTTGGTGATAATAAATATAATACATAAAAAGCAAACAGGATAAGGAAAGTTTGTTCAGCAATCATCAACTGCCATATTGTTCTGGAATATTCTGTTTGACTTTCCACTCCCCACTTCCCTAATAAGGGTATAAAAGGTCTGTGTGGTGTCAGAAGGCATGCATAAACATCGTAAAGCATGCTAGCGCTTGCCACGATTACGTACTTGGTAGGTAGTAGGATCTGACCTTTTCAATCTTTTTATTACCGAATCACTCATCATAGTAAACGCTTTCAGACGCTCCTCGTCACATCTGGATGGGCATGTAAGTACCATGCTCATGAAATCATAAGTCGAAAATTTTGCAAAAGGAACAATTTCAGCCATGTGCTCGGACGCCGATGGAATGAATGATGAACTAAGACAGGTTTTCGTTGACCAACACAATATGTATCGGTGCGTCCTCTTTAGATTGAGACTTCACTAGCAAAGGGTAGTAAGTCGAATTATCTTTAACTGTCTAGCTCACAAATTGCCAAAGGACAAGCCAAAAATAAGCTCGGGTGGTTACGCTCCAAAGGCGGCAAGGATGCTGAAGATGGTACGACTGCGATGGTTTCCAGTATTTTTCTGCGATTAAAATAAGGATTTGAGAACCATAGATGACAAATGGGCTCTCAAAGGATGTAGCTTTCACTCTTGCTAACAATCATCATTTTAGACTTATGATTGTGACGTTGAAGCAAACACGATGCAGTATGTCAAAAAATGCGTTTTTGAGCACGACTCACGCCAAGAAAGGAACTACTGGGGGCAGAGCATATGGAGTATAGGCGTACAACAAATGAACAAAACTGCGTCTGCAATATACGTGAGAATGTGGATGCCTTTGCGAGATGTGCGTGTGAGTGTTTAAGGCATGGTAACAGCTTATTTCAGGCTGTTATGGATTGGTTCTTGGAACTACAATTGTTTGGTGTTCCTGACGACTTGCAATTTTCCATGGAATTGATATATAGAGGCGTTGGCCATTATACGCAGGTGCGGATTGAAGCAACGACAATACTCGATGAACAAGAATAGAAGTTGTTTCAGTTGGCCTGGCAGTGGAGTAACAAGATTGGATGCGCGGTGTATTGGTGCCCTGACATGACATTCGCCGCGTGCGAGTATAATCCCGCGTAAGTGCATTGCTGCGAAATAAGAAGGCCCATTTCATTTGCCAAGTGTTTCAGTGGAAATCTTCTTGGTTCTGTAGTTTACGAAAAAGGAGATCCATGTACAACTGACGCCGACTGCCAGTGCGAAGGTTGCGTTTGCAGCAGAGATGAGGCGCTATGCATTGCCCCAGCACATTGATTTAGCTGTCATTCTCAACCCACTTTTTCAAAGTTTGTGTGCTTTGACAGTTTCAAAGGATCCATCAACAGTCAAATAAAAGGTTTTGTAAACAATTGACAAGCAGACATCGTGTGCTATGATTGTAGTTAATGATTTCATCGTGCAGAGGCTGTCAAAAGTTAACAAACCTCATAGTTTTTAACCAAGCTTACCATTAGCCGGTAGAGGAGAATAATCGCCTTACGAAGCAGATCACAATCAAGTTGAGATATACTGAGACGCATATTGACTATTATTTATTACTTGATGGTCTTAGAGCTGCTCAACAGGGACCACAACTCTTCAATACTTCCCATGATTCTCTGGCGAGTTACGTCCAGTGTAGTCTAGGTTGCCTGAAATATTTTTGAACGAGTCGGCTCGCCGGGATTGCAGCCGTTCATGGTAATGATGTTACAAATAATGCATACTATAAGTCGAAAATTCAGCACAATGATCCAGATTCTGATTCGGCTGAAAAGTTATAGAAAAGTTAGCTCACTACAAGGCCGAATCTTGGGTCTTCAACAGGTGTTACTCTGAGCACTTTCTCTAGAAACCCTCTCAATGAGTATTCAACCAACATCACAAGTCAGGAAGCAATCATCTCAGTGAGTATTCACGGTTTTTCCGACACTATTTTGCGATTCCCCAATTCGTCAGAACTTACATAACGAGATCATACCGTACCCTACAAATGGAAATTGTGCTTCAAAAATGAATGTCATGTTTTTCATCTAGGACAATCCCGAAGAGATCAGTGAGCAGAAGGTCGCTGCTGCCCATAATTCTCAATCTTTCAGCAATTGTTTTAAATTTGAGAGTTAAAACTGGCCTCAGAAACAGGGGTATCCTGGTCCCACAAACACAAATGTCACCACTGTATGTCGCGAAAATATCTGCTCGTGCTTGATGCTGGAGTATCATGAATTTTTTTTATCGTCAAATATTTAGGGGACGACCCATCAACATATTAATCCACAATAAAGAAGTGACAGAAGGCTAGCGACGAGGTCCTGCACAAAGACGACTCATTAAAAAGTAAACAATACTGCGCAGGCAAATTACTTCCTGAAATTCCTTTGTGATCCCTTCGAAAGAATCAATACGAAAGTTCCAATCGTTGGATACATACAGTACATAAAAAGCAAACAGGATAAGGGAGCTGATTCAGCAATCACATCAATTGTCATATTTTCCGAAAAATTCTCTTGACGCTCCACTCCGCCTCCATAATAAGTTCCCTATTCGTCCCCATGGGGACTCAGATGATTCTGTCCACTTTCGGTAACAAACACAATCAATAGGTATGTACAGTTAGAATAGATTCTTGTAAGAAGAAGACAGAAGTCGGAAGCAAGTTGTGCTGACCGAATGCGAAGGGCGACATGGAATGAAGTTTCACAATTCAGATGCAGCGTGCAAAATTATTCACACGTCAAGCCGCACAGGTTTCATCTCCTGAGCCTCTATGGTATTCACACCTAAGCCACTGAGGCTGTCTTCACTACGGCAGTCACCGTAGAGCCACCTAGGCTCTTCTAAACAGGCTCCATTTACTATATCTGCCAATCACTATCTCTGGTGAACCTAGGTCCTCTTTCCTACAGACAGGGTCAGCCGTCACGTTCGAACATTTTCGGGATTTTCGCGACCCCCTAGCTCTCGAGGGAGTCTAGTTGCGACTCCCTGTTTTTGTTAATTAGGGTGCAAGACATGAATCCGTTGAGCCAGGAACCGCCGCAGAAAGCGTCTGTTTTGCGGCGTCAACCATGGGGCGAGGCAGGTATCACCTCGGGCGCTGGAAGAATCGGGACGCGGCGAAAAAAATTTTTAGAGGGGAATAACTTTCTTGGGACGTACTTTTTTGACTTGTTGAGGTAGATTTTGATTGTGCCTGAGGTGCGCTTTCCAGAAAACTACAAGGATTGCCTAACTCTCCGGAAAGTACTTCTGTTAGAAGTGGAAAACCCAAAATTCTAAGAAGGCGCACCTTCAACTTTGAAGGCCCATAAATATCTTTCGTATGCGACATTTTGGAAATCTGTAGAAAGTTTCAGAAACTTCAAATTTTTCTCTATCAAGACAGTGTCAAAAGTTGGGGATTAGCCCTTTTCAAAACCAGTTGGCGCCGCACGCATTGCGCGCGCAACACAGATCTGTGGCGAATTTTGATGGTGCGACGAAAAATTTCAAATTTGGCTTGATACAATACGAATATCTGAATTCTCCGCTAAATTCTATGCGCTCTTTCTTCGTCAACCATTATCCTATTTTTCTCGGTCCTCGGCCCGGACAATAAATCTCGTGGCGAACTCCGTCTACTTCGGTGCGTGCCCTGCCGACCAATAGCATTTGGCTCCCTTCTTTTCGCCGACCTCTACCCCCTTTTTCACCGGTCTCTGGGACCTCTTGGAACCAAATTACGACACTTTTGGCAAACTCCGCCCACTTAGGTGCGTGCTCTACCCAGTGATAGCAGTTGAGCTCTTTTCCCTCACCAACCTCTAACCCCGTTTTCCCCTATCTCTAGGACCTCTTGCAACCGAATTGCGATACTTTTGGCAAACTCCGCCCACTTGGGTGCGTGCTCTACCCACTAATAGCATTTGACCTCCTTTCCTTCGCCGACCTCTACTCCCTTTTTCCCAGCCTCCTGGACTTCTTGGGGCCGAGTTATGAATTTTCGTCGCAAACTCCGCCCACTTTGGTCATGTCCCTCCCACCATTGACAGCTGGCCTCCACTCCTCCACCCACCTCCATCCACCTTTTCCGCGGCCTCAGGGACTTCTTGGAGCCAAGTCATGAATTTTCGTCGCAAACTCCGCCCACTTTGGCCAAGCCCCGCCTACCACTGGCCTTTGACCTCCACTTTCCCACCCAACTATATCTTCTTTTTTCCCCACTCTCCGGGACCTTCTGGAACAGAGTTCTGAATTTTCGTCGCAAACTCCACCCACTTTGGTCAAGCTCCGCCCACCCGATGACAGCTGGCCTCCACTCCTCCACCCACCTCTATCCACCTTTTCCCCAGCCTCCGGAGCTTCATGGAGCCGAGTTATAAATTTTCGTCGCAAACTCCGCCCACTTTGGTCAAGCCCCGCCCACCATTGATAGCTGGCCTCCACTCCTCCATACACCTCTATCCACCTTTTTCCGGCTCTTTAGGACTTCCCCGACCCGAATTATGAGGGCTTGTAGAAAATGCTGTACACTTCAGAGCGCGCCCCGCCCATTCTGGGCAGGCCTCCGCCCACGTCATGTATGCGGGAAACACCTTAGACATTGCTCCCTTACACCGAATTGTTTTCTGCTCTGTAGGCTTTCTCCCAACCGAGTTATGAAATTTTTCATAAAGCACTGCTTTTTTAGAGAACGCCCCGCCCACCGGGGTGGGTCTCCCTAATTCGATGTTACTTACCAATGCACACCTTTACCCACTTTTTGGCCCAGTTTCGAGGTCGTTTTGTCACTGAAATCGAAATCTTGGTCTTCGGTACAATTCATTTCGACGCACGCCACGCCCTCTGTGGGCGGGGCTCCGCTTAGCTGATGTGTGTTTTGTATTACGTGAGACCCTGCCCACCCATCCCACACTTGACCCGGTCCCTCCAGGCGGATCCCGAGGAGCTAGGAATTTCGTCTGACAACAGAGGGCAGAACGACAGACACGAAGCGGCTTTATAGTATATGAAGTTGTCCCGTTCGAACTTTTTCCGTGCAAAAGCGAGTTTTTGGGCTTTCAGCGGCCATAACTCACTTCATTTTCAATTCTGTGATTCACTTTTTATATATGAAGAAAGTCCAGGATTTTTTCTTTTCAACAAGCACCTAACCGTTTTTCAAAGTTAACTTTTCAGAAAGTCACTGGTCGAACATTTTCGGGGATTCTGAGGAACACTTTTTTGAAATTGCTAGCTTTTGGGCTTTCAGCAGCCATGACTCACTTCATTTTCATTTCTGTGATTAACTTTTTCATGTGATGAAAGCACAGGATTTGTTCTTTCTAACAAGCCCCAAACCATTTTTCAAAATTCATTTTCGAGAAAAATCACACGTTCGAACATTTTTCCCATAGGTTTTTGAGCAGCACATGCGAGTTTTTGAGCTTTCAGCAATGATAACTTCCTTCAAAGAGCTTGTTGGAGAGGGATAAAGACATTCAGTGAAGACTACGAGATTTCCGCTTCCTTAGTGTTTTACAGTACATTGGAAGAAACGTCCCCAAAAAATACGTCTCCAAAGATTTTTGTTTTCAGCCCTG